TTGGAGGTGCGCGGCGAGGTGGAGGCTATGAAGAAGTGAGAGCTGGGTGGCGTGCAGCAGAAGTGACGGGCCTGGCAATGCTTTGTACCCAGTCATGGATGAGCTGCCGACAGCCAGGAGTCCGCAGGAAAGCCTCCTCGCGACAAAAGAAGCAAAGCGCCATCAAGGGGTCTTTTGACATGTCGTAGTTGCAGGAAAAGCTTCTGGCCAGCAAGTGCATCCTAAAGCTCCGTCAATGTCATTACGCACCAAAGAGGGGCGCCTGACAGGTATAGTGCGCAGACAGCACTTGGTGGTGCATGTTGCAAGCCAGAAACTGACGAGTGTTTTTGTTCAAGGTATCTCAAGTTTTTTTGGTGCCACCCTCGCTGAGTCATGGCCCGTGCTCGCGGATTTCTCCTCCTCGCTGCAGCTGGCTGCGCCATGCTGCTGGCCTCGCAAGCCTTCGTCCCATCGCCGGCCCCAAAGGCTGCGCCCATGGAGGTCGACGCTCGCGTGTTGGGCGCCACCTTCGCAGGCCTTGCGCCATTGGCGATCGAGCAGCCTGCCAGTGCCTACGACAGCGTCGTGGCGATGTTGCAGAGCTGGTTGGTGGGTGGCATTGCTCTTGTCCTGATCTACGGAGCTGCCTTGGTGGCAGCTGTTGCGAACCCGCTGACGAAGAGACGCTTGGAGGTGCGCGGCGAGGTGGAGGCCATGAAGAAGTGAGAGCCGAAAGGAGACATGCTGCAGAGGAGTCATTCCTCCAGCTCACTTGGCGGAGGAAAATGCCAACACACACTTGTGAGCTTCTATTCCGTGTGTGCAAGACGACCATGGCGATTGATAGCAGGCGTTTCGTCTGTTGTAGATTGTGGAGTGCATGCGGAGGCTCGCCGACACTTTGCTTACCTGATGCGCTGCAGCTTCAAGAGCTATTTCTGGAGGCAGGGCTGGGCTCTGCCAAGGGTGAATCATCTAGGCCGTGGCCATTGTTCACCATGGTTTTTCATCGCATCATGTCGCCCAGGTGCCAGGTTTGGCAACGCTCGATCTCTCTGATTGGGCGGTCTTTGGTGAGCTCCGACAGCGCCGGAGATGCATTTTCGCAAGTATGTTTCGAGATCCATGCAAGTTGCGAGTTAGGTACCTATACAGCTTGATGGTGCTAGCTGCTGATTTGCTCTGCTGCCCTTGCAGCCGATAGTTCAATATTGGATCCTCGCGAAGGAGGGCCTCCTTCATTGCTTGCTTCATCCTTTCGACATTCCCTGTGATCCAAGGTTGGAGCTGCGCGGCTGCAACCTGCAGGAGCTGGCTCTCCCGCAGGTGAAGGGAAGGGCACCCAAAGATTCCGCTGTTTACTTCACTCCCTACTCACGGAAGGGTGGTGAGCTCCGGCGCATCACGCTGAGGGCGACGCAGCTCCCAAAGCTGCAGTTTTGGCTAAAGGCTAGGCGGGTACGAGGAAATCTTCGAGCGAGAGCAACACACCAGGTACTGGGACGACTTTACAGCTGGACTCGATGTGCAACTGTTGAACTTGTGGGGAAGCTTTGCAGTAATGACAGTTTGTTTTGCGAGGCGGCTGAGTCTGTCGATGTCCAAGCACCGAACATCTCGCGTCTACATATCGGTGGCTGCACTGGCCTTTCCAGCCGCTGCTTGTTCCCTCAGCTGCATTCGGCACAGCTTGAGATCCAGCTCCAGATCTGTCAAGACACGGTACAGGAAAGCGGGACTCAGGTCTCATCTGCTGGCAGGTTGCCAACAACTGGAACAACTACAGCTGTCCCACTGTGCGTCCGTTGAGTCACTTGAACTTTCCTCCACGAGTCTCGAGGAGCTTGGGTTAATTTTTACGGAGAGAATCCGAATCGAATCGGATGTGTCGATCACATGAAGATCTTTCAGAGACAGCCCACCCTTTCCCTCTGTCCGCGCGAGACCGCCGCCCCCCCCCCTGCCCCCATGACGTCCGGAGGAGCTGAAGCTGCGTCTCAGTCGAAGCCATCGCTTGCAGACATTGCGCCTCCGGTGCCCCAGCCTAGCGTGCCCTAGACGCATTGCGTGGGCACTTGCTTCGGTTTTTATTCCCTTCCTGGCTTCCGTAGTGATTGTGGTCCAGTGTTCGTGCTGGTAGAGTCGCTGCAGGCCAGTCTGCAAAAGTGCATATTCGGCCAAGGTGCATTGCGCTGCCTTTGGCACCGCTTGCTGCGGCGAATCTGCGACGGTTGAGCCTTGAATCTGCAAGGCATGCTAAAGGGAGGGGGACAAGCAGCTCCTGGATAAATCATGCAGTTCCTTCGAGCTGAAGCTTGGTAAGCCTCCTGACTTGAAGTGACTTGCACCCTGGCCCTGGTCGTCTGCGTTATGCCGCTGTTTGTCCACGGCCGTTACTGCCAGTCGCTGCAATAGTTCCACCATTGTTGCTACCCTCGTTTATACTCTCTCCCTCAATCGGTGGCCTCATTGAACGCGAATACAGTGTTTGCGTGTGACCTCGCCGCGTCTGTGTTCTGGCGGCTGGCGCAGGGGATTTGCACTTTCCTGGAAGGCTCACATGCTTGGATCTCAGCTCCTTGCGGTGGCAGGAGCTGCTTGAGCTCAGCCGGGGGCTTGGCATGCTTGGCGCACTGTTCAGTATGTTCAGTGTTGAGGGTTGGGTGACGGATGCATCGTCCCAAGTTGGTCAGGGATAACAGATATAACAGATCAAGCCTGCGGAAAGCAGCTGAGACGTATCAACGTAGTAGGTGAAGGTAGCTGCGTGGTGTCCTTCTGCAGCTTTGTTTTGCCTGCAAGGCCTGCAGCTTCCGCATCTATCAGTGCTTCAGCCACCCGAAGCAGCAAAACCTCTCGTGGGTGCCACACCAGTTTTTCTGTAGTCAGGCTTGCTGCAACCACGGCTCAGTTGCTGAAATGGAAGGTAGCTCTCCGGAGCTTGCCTGCAAGCCGGAACCTGTACAAGTCCTCATCTTTTCCAAGCATCTGAACAAGTTGGACCTGACAGGCCTCGACGATTTAGTTCTGAAGCGATGTTAGCTGTTCGCCGACTGCAGGGTCGTGCATGAATCTGGTCATTGTGGGAGGCTTGCGACATGCGAAGCGCATCGACCTGACGTTGCAGTCCTGGCGTGCTCAAGTTCTATGGCCAAGGCATGCAAGGCTACAAGCAGGCGCAGGCTTGAAGCGCTCCCCGCCCTTGCCGAACTTCAGCTGTGCAGCCGCCAGGTTCCCACCCCGCAACCCTGCGTTTGTGGCTTCCGTGCTCTGAGACTCCGCTGCCCCCACAAGGCAGGATGCTTGCAGGGAGGCATAGGCTATCGCAGGCTGCAGACTTTGATTTGCAGGCTGCGGGCTTCTGGAGTCGGCAGAAACTGTGGACTGTTCGGGTTGTCATGTCCTGAAACCGGCACCTCGGCAGGCAGTAATCCCGAGCCGGGAAGAAGATGCCACTAATGCATGGTTGGAAGTGGGCTGCAGGAAGCTTTGAAGCCGGAAATGTTCCCGAACTTGACCTCCCTCGACGTGACAGTTGCTGGGCCAACATGCCGTCGTTAAGCAGTTCAGCGCTGGTAGCAGTATGAGCCTCAATCATTCCATGATACCCCACGGCCCGTCAGCTTCAGGACTGTCAGGAATTCAACGACACTGCCTTGATCAACGTGGCTGGTGCGACTGTTTAGATCACTTTGCATCGACGCACAACACATGCACGAGACGGTAGTTACAGTTACAAGTTACATGTGACCTGCCGTGCCGAGTCTTTGGGCCTAGCCTAGAGGCTCATAGAATCATGGAATTGAATGTCATCGACCAAGTGTCGTCAGGTGCCCCGGAACTTCGGCGACTGCGCTGCCCAGGTTGTGCCCGCCTGACCCCCTCCGGCGTTCGGCGCGCAGTGCAGAGGTCGGCCTGCCTCAAGGACTTGTCGGCAGAGCAAAGAATCAAGAGCGATGAGGATCATGACCTGCAGTGGCCACTAATAATAAAGTCGTCGGCTCTGCTGCTTCCCACAGGCAAGAAAAGTCACCGACAGCACGGGAGCAGCGTGTACCGTTCACACCCTTAGCACGTTCCGAGTATTGTCGAAACCGGAGGAGCTAGAAACAGATGTGGCGCCGTGGCAGCGGCAGTGTAGCGTTTCTAGTTGAGTGTGCGCAGATTGGCTGCAGTGACAGCGCGCAGACGGGGTGGTATGCCTTCCTGTCTGAGGTCTGGTGGCCTCAGCTATCGAATCCTTGGGACATGGTTGACTTGTGCCTGTGGCTTTCGAGGCGAGGGTACGACAGGCCTTTGAAAATCCTTCGTATATCTATAGTGACATGCTCGAGGCCAGAGCTCCGCCGGAGATGGCGGCGCCTCCGTCCCACCGAAATGGCCGCAGCGATGGCGCATGCATCCAAAGCCTTGAGATTCATGCTCCACACTTCGGCACTAGCCGTTTCAGTCCTCGCAGCGCCCCTCGGTTTCCATTGGCCACTCACGACGTTTAAGGTGATGCTTTTACTTGCTCACTCAGCACTGAAGGTTGTTTTGGGGACCGGCTCCACCTTCTTTCGAGCTCTGGCAGTTCAGAGGCGAAGAGGAAAAATGCGCCACCTATCCTTCATCGTTACCATGCCCGAATCATGCTGGCAATGCTCACGGCTCTTGCCTCTCTCATGCTTCAACACAGCAGACACAGCCCCAAAGACGAGGCCTCAGCTGTATCAGCCAGAACGGCGCCACGAACATCACGGCCGCTGCCCTGGATCACCTCGAGTACAGGCATGAGATCGCACACAGTTTACAGGTGAAGACCATTGGCGGTACTCCAGGATACAAGTGCGCGCACCTTGGCCTGGTGCATAGGCCATAGGCGCCATTTGCATTGGCCGCAGCCGCAGTGCCACAGACTCGATGAGAAACTTACAGTAACAGGCTTACGGATTTAACAGCATTCAAGAGCTCTTTATAGCTGAAAATTACGCCACCGGCTTCAATTCCTTGATATTCCTTGCTCACCTACCTGTCTCTTAGACTGTTCCCAAAATTAAGATACCTGCATCTCGGTAGGTCCTGTCTATGAGCGCACGCGACGATGCACCGAATCGTCCGAGGTTCGGCTCAGTCCCGGTGTTCAGGGCAGTGTGCTCGACGAGGAGTCTGTTCACGAACAGTAAGCGCAGGTGTATTCCTTCGGCATGGTAATGCTGGAGGTGATGACAGGCCAGGGCCACAGAGCTCGGAGAGACAGATCAGCCCCGCACGCCTTCGTGCACCAACCGACGAAATTGGCGAAGAGCGATGCATTCCCCAGTCAACATGCTGAAGAATCCCAGCCTACAGCATGGTCCTCGGGTCCTCCGTTTTTGTGATGAAGCCTGCCATATGCCAGAAATAGGACGTTGTTGCTTCTTTGCAGCTTTGAACTTCGGATGTGTAGCGGTAGCATGACACAAATCGACGACATCTATATAGGTGTCGATGCTTTCTCCACCGTGACATGCAGCCGTGTGTTCTCGGAAGCATAGCAAGCCAGAGGCCTGGATCCTTCGGCCACCGACCCAGCAGCACCTCGAGGCTCCGGGAGCAACGCGCGGCATCTGAGTCAAGTGCTGCATACTTCTTTGCAATGGGACTAAGACTGAACTTTACAGAAGCAGCGATCATGGTGCCCTGCAGTAATGTGAAGCTTGTAAGCGTGAGCGCTGGGCAGCGCCAGAGCCCTACCCCTTTTGTGACTCGCATGTATGTCTAGCCTCGTACAAGTGTTGAAGTACTCGAAGCACGGCCATTTTTCAAAGTCGAGACGGTGCTGGCAAAGAGTGCATGTGCTACGTCGCTACGTTGCGATTCCCTTCAAGAGAGCAACTTTGCTGCAGGCATCGTCTTCCCGCTTGTGTGGTCCTCGAGCCTTCGGGAGGAAAACGAAACCAATGTCAACATTGGAATCAAAGATCAGCCGCGAGTCCTTCATACCCGACTCGAAACTCCTTGGCCTCTAGCAGGGGAGATCTGGTAGAACAGTCGAAGAAAGTGAGGGGAGCAAATGCACCAATCGACTTCTGCTAAGGCAAAGACAGTGGCTCCAAACACGCCTGGCTCGCTGCAACGGCTCAGAAGGCCTGTGGCGGAGCAGGTAAGCTGATTATTTCACCCTGTAACTCTAATGCAGGTCGGCAGACACAGCAGCCAGCTGGCTGGTGCCTGAGAGACCCTTGGGTGCCCGCATCCGCAAAACGCCAGCCACTTCCATGCCGTCTCATTAGAGAGGGCCACCTGCAGTTTGACCCTCACTGGACTGCCACTTCCTGCAGACATGACATAGCACCCTCACATCAGCCAAGGCCTCGGGATCTCTTCGAGGAGCTGGCCCCGCCGGGATCCGTGAACCGAAGCAGCCATGAAATCCAGGAATGTTCGTGGTGTCAAGTTGTAAGATGGCAAGAGCAAGCGCAGCCCTTTCGCCAGCCAGTTCTCACGAGGTGTTATAAGCCGAGAATATTCCAGGAACAGCCCCAAGGAAGCTCTCACAAATCGTCGGAGTTTCTTTGCAAAGGCATCTGTTGGAGGGCTGTAGTTCTGATCGTCAGAAAGTCCAAGTCAGCAGCGTTGACCCCACAACAGTGCACCACTGCACGACACGGCGGAGATCCCCGCAATCGCCTGGCAGCTCTGGCAGCTCGGAGAAGTGTGCGGCTCTCGCTATGGAATTGCCAGTCTGCGGCCTAGCTTCTCGAGCTGAGCTGTTTTGCCTGAAATTGCAATGCATTCTCTTGCCTGATTGCTTCACCCGGAGCACAGCGGAAGGACCTTGTTTAGGTCTTTTTCAGCTTATGCAGCTCCGCATGGACTTTGTAACTTTACTGATCGAGTTTGGTTTCTCCTTCTCACAGCTGTGGAGCGACAGTTGTGCAGAGTCAACCGTGGCATCGCGTGGTCTGCCCAGTGTAAGCAACTACCAGCCGAGCGCTGAATGCATCAGCCCACAATATATGTAAGAGATTGCACTCTACATGGCTCAGAGGCAGAACCAGGCGAGCAGCAACAAAACATATAGTGAGAATTCTGTGTAAGCTTCTTG